TATCAGCATAAAAAATTCTTACTTTGGTTGAATTAAGGTGGGCAAAAATTTGCATTTAGCCCGGCATTGCCGAATGCCGACCTCGTTTTCGAGGACTGATTTTGCCACGTCTTGCTGACGTAATAAGTTATACCGACAAAGGAAAAAGGTCGCTTCGTGCGAGAAAATTCGCTAGTGGAAAACCGACTTTATTGCCTCTTTTATAATAGAACAGTATAATAAGCAAAAACAACAACAACAACAACAACAACAACCAAACAAATTTAATTACCTAATTATGATTTCAATGATATGCACTAGCTGCCAGAAGTGAAGATACCGTATTCGAAAAAATTTGCATTGCTGCATGTGTGGTTTCTTTGATGCATGCTATTCGTGATGTTCGGTTTGAATTCAATTATCCAGGAGGTCAATTTTGGTTCTTCAGTGGTTATCTTTAGCCAATCCAGTTTTGCCGACTGAGATAACAATTTGCCGATTAGCTGACAAGTGTAGCGCCGCCCCTGCGTCGAATGCGTGAGAGTTGAGAGGTCTGATATTATTCATGCATGCTTTCTTGTGGCCTATGGCTATGCTTGGTCGCTATACTGTAAAAGGACTGCCGAGTCGCTGACGCCACTATTTTCATGCATCAGTCTCTATGATCAGTCTACAACAAAATTTTAAATGCGACATCTTTAAGCATATTAATAATTATTTATACTAAATAACAACTATAATAACCCTGGTTCCAGAGATTTATTATATTTGTATTTGGAATGGCGAAGGTAATATTATATAAAATGAAAATAAACCTCTGGAACCAGGGTAATATTAAATGGGTAATTACTTAAGATATTCTTAAAGGCACATCATGTCATGTTTTAGATCAAACTAACCGTGTGAATTAATAAGCTGGGAAAAACGTTAATGATTTTTTGGCGGCAGGCCATTGCCCGGTGATGTAAACAAACTTGTAATTAACATACTTTCGTTGCGAATTTCTCCAACTTCAGTTGCAGATTTCATTGCGACTATGCAAAAACCCAAACAAATGTTTGCAGTCGCTCTTAGCCTATCATGTACAGGTTGTTCTACCTGATTTTCATGGAAATTGGAGAATGGCCACATGGAAAAAATCGCATTTATATATGTGAGGTAGCCTGATAACAGATCTACATTTTCACCCGCCCTAAAATTCGTCCACAGAAAGGGCGAAACGTAGGTCTGATGAAAATGTTGTCAAAAGCGCCTTCCGCCCACTTTGCATTTTGCACTAATTAACGATGATGATTGACACATACATGTAATACCTAAAAATACAATGAAAGTTGTCGATTTCACTTTATTGCAAGTTTGTAAACTAGTAAGAGTCGATAAGTACAGATATCCGAATAAATACTTAAAATATTGGTAACCCCATGGAGCTAGTTGCTTTTATATACTTAAACCTTTGTAAATGAACAGTTACAGCTAGTAATAATACAACATTTTCAATACATTCTATCAATGCGATACGTATTTGTATCCGTGTTTTACTATGATTTATAATCACAAAACTTAGATCGTGTTTAAAAAATTATATATTGTATTGTTTATTGATACAACGGAAAGATACAACGCTGAGGAATTTGACACGTTTTGTTCTACTCCCCTGTAGTTTTAATTTTAGACGGTAGATACTGATCATAGACTAGTTGTCGTTCGGCATCACAAAATATTTAGAATAGTACTGTAAGCATATTTATATGCGTTGATTTACCGTTGAAAATATTCTGATCTTTTCAAATCTTTCCATGTTAGCGTCCAATCAATCACAACCCATTTCCCTGAGAATTAGCCAATCAGCTTTGTCGACCGCCAGGTGGTCGACTTACATGCACTTTTGACAACATTTTCATCAGACCTACGTTTCGCCCGTCGTCGGCGGCCTTCGCAACATCAGTACAAAAAATATCACCGATATGGTGGAAAAACCGCCCCCATCCCCCCCAAAATACTATTAAAAAATTAAAAAACAAGTAAAAATTAAAAAACCCCGCCCGCCCGCCTCTGAAAATTTGTGAGAGTGTGACGCTAACCAAGTATTTTTTTTATTTGGCCTAATTGTTTTAAATTGGAGTCGCCGTTAACCGTTATAATGACCCGTTAACCGTTCTTTTATCAAACCACGATAAAGTTTATACTTGGTTAACCGTCATATAAAAAAATTCGGGTTAAATTATCAGTTTTAAAAGCAGGTTTGAGGCTCATAAACTATAGAGCAAATGACGTCATCCAATACAAAATACCTATGTATAGCAACACTTGACTTGAGCGTGGCATTTACATAATTGAATGGGATTGGTGGCTTAAGGTAATTCCGCAGTAATTGTTCCCGAAATGAGAATGTGCTGAAACTTCCCAGGCATGGAGCTTATGTACTGTTTAATAAACGAGCAGGAGTGTTTTATTATGTTTAAAGACACGAGCGCGCAGCGCGAGTGGCTTTAGACCTAATAAAACACGACCTGCGAGTTTATTAAACGGCTTCAAACACGACTACAAATTCAATAGATATACCGCCTTATTAGTATTCTTTATATAAAAAATACTAATGAGGACACGACTACAATAGATACTGCCTTATTAGTATTCTTTATATAAAGAATACTAATTAGGAGTGTTTTATCAGGTTTAAAGCCACTGCACGTGACATATTACGGTTGACATGATTTGCCAATAAGCTTATGAATTATTAATGAGTGTTTGAAGATATATTTAAAGTAAAATCTCACAAAAAAGTCGGGGTCACCGAACTCGTTAAGAAGATATGACAATCACAATATACCATCTTTACCCCAATATGGCGCCATCTTGACGCTCATTACGAGCAATTTAACAGCAAAATCACAACAGCCCGATATTTAGTGACGTTTATAGCGCGGATTTTGCTTTAATAAACCTATCTTGTAATTATTTTTGAAAAAATATTGTGTTTTAAGCAAAATGAAACTACTAACGTGTACAATTCTGATCCACAAATGTCTTTTCCACATTTCTTTACATATATTTTTTTGAGAACATGCATTGATAAAAGATTTTTTTCAAGATCTAGAAATGATTGTTCTTTTAATTTCGGATATGAAATGTAAAATGGTTAAAATTATCGGTTTAAAAACGGGGGTCACCGATCTTTTTAGGGAATTGTGGCATTAAAACGTGAAATGCAAGTAAATAAATATACTGCAGACACAGGGAAATCTAGCTACACCTTTGTATGCCTTTTTTGAACTGACATTGATTTTAACGTAATTCTTTGCACGAATGTAACCAAAAACGTTTTGGAGTAACATAAAATTTTTATAAAATGATTTTTTTTATAAACGGTACGTATAATAGATGAAATTATAAGTTATAAGATGTGCGCAGTAAAAGTGCGCAATGGAAAACTGCGGAATTACCTTAAGAAGGGCAACAAGATTCAACATGGAGTTTATCATAAAAATATGCGAATATTCTATAGGGGAAAAATGGTCTCAACTAGTTATATCTAAGATTGTAATAATTATGGGACAAACATTCAAAAATACTCTTATTAAAAACAACTGCCATTAGTAATATAAAATTTTCTGAGCGTCTCAAAAGGGTATGGGGATTCAAGATTTCTGCACGACTTTTTGAAGATGTAAAGCCGGTGGTGTACCTTCAAAACTACATTCATTGGTATGATTGGTTAACGAAAAAAAATTGCCGTGAAAAAATAGGACGCGGTTTCCATATTCCTGACAGCCTAATATTTATAAACTGTAACATATATTTTAAAATATTTTCGGGAAAGCTCTGTAATAACAACTGTAGGCTTACATAAAATTAACAGAACTGAAAACACTCAAGTGAAAATGCTCTGGACAGGGTTTAAAACAGAGGGACTGACAAGTTTTGCCTTCCCGCTTTTAGTATCTTCAGCGGGTCGGTACTTCAACAGCCAATTTCTACGGTAGGCTGTGTGTTCCATAAATGCGGGGTGGACATTTATCCTGGCAAACATGACATGTTCAAAACAGAAAGTTTGGAACGCGTTGGTGAACAACAAGGTTCATTTGCGAGAAATCTCTTTCCGTTTCGGAGAAACTGATGGGAATCGTATCCAAATTGCTTTGTATTAGTTTCTTGTTAGATATCTTGGGTGTCCTTCGAAGATCGTAGAAATATTCACGATAGGCTGATTTGATACCACATTCAGGCACATGAAACCTTTGACAAATACTGTAGCTGTTATTGCTTTTTCTCCTTCCGACCCAGGCGGACATTCCCCTGTAGGCCACTTATTTGGAATCTGTGCTTCCAATTGCTTTATCACTGCCTCATTACTAGGGTGATCATTCTTGCATTGAAGTTGTCGATTACTGCCTGGATAAATTGCTTCTGATCGAAGAACACATTACACATACCCTTTTCTTGACGAGAAAGCTTCCAAGGAAACACCTTTAAATCCAACGCCATTTCCAGTTGTCCACTGTAACGTGTACGTTCCTTCCTGAATTATTTCGAAACAGCGCGTTTAGTATCCATTGCAGATTTCTATTTGCTTCAACTAAGCTTGTCTGTTGCCTTTGTAAGGCTTCTAATAGCAGAGATACTTGGGTTAAACAGTCCTTAACAATTCCCACATCTTCAATGAATTCCCTTGTTGAGAGCTTCTTCACAATCCCCTGGTACGTTGCACGGTCGTTGACTTGTCCTCTGAAAGTTTCTTAAAATGCGAATAAAGAGCCGGGCAATCATTCGATAAAGCCTTGATCGCTCTAAAAATGATGCAATCCATCGAACAATGAAAATATTACCAATTTGTTTAGCTGTAGATGGAGATCCCAGGATATTTACTAAGTACACGTTGTGAAACTTAGATGAAAAAGAATATACAGAATAGGTTTTGTCAAAAAAAGTTTGTATAGGTTGGAAGCCATCAATTGTTGATACTGCATCAGAGATAGCCAACTCTAGGCGGTGATGCAAACAGTGCCACAGGAGAAGCGCAGGAAATGTTTCTTTCAGTCTTTGACCCACGCCGCTATGTATTCCCAACATGACAAAAGCCCCTTCACATGTGAAAGCAATGAGATTCTTTGATAAATAATCCTCATCGAATCCAAACTCTGCTAGCGCTGTGAGAAGATATTTGAGTACGGATTCTGCATTTTGGCCCTCTAATTCGCGCATGTCGAGGAAAACGTTTTTTGGAGTTTCATCTATTACTGCACAATGTAAATAATGAGGCATGACTTCTTAGACACATATGTTGATTCGTCAATAATAATAGCAATTTTTCTTTCATTGCCTCTAATCGTTCTGCAGACTTTTTTATCTGCAAGTGTACCTAGAATGTAAAATTGACCCTATCTCTATTCCATTTCCGCTTTGAAGAGCGAGAATGTCTGGGTAATTGGTTAATGGACGGTTTTGGTACTGAATAAAATATGCTGTTCGGAGGCATCTCTCTGTTAGTTCTCTTGAGTGTGCAACACTTTTGTGTAATGCTGTCTCGACCTTCTTTCTTCTTTTTCATCTAGAATGCCACTTGCAGCAATATCTGCTTGGGATTTTGCGTGTTTCATTTTTTCGCAATGCTTTCTGGGTTGCTGCCTTCATGCCATCTCTACGAACAGAACACGCACTCCATTCAGTACTAATGCGCCTACTTTTTGTCGTGGAAGTTCCTAGACCTGGTGACTTCACATTTCCACAAATATTTACCCAATACTTCCATTTTTACAAATAAGCCATGAGTATAGTAGTTGTATTGTTCTGCTGACCAACAAGTAGGGTATGTCCCCAAATAATTTACTGTAGGGATTCACTTCCCACTTTCGTAATATTGACCCGCTGGTTTACTCCCAGTAGCGTCGCTCTTCTTTGGCTCAACATTCTTTCCAACCGTACCTTTATTTTCAGCATCCTCATTCACTTAAATTATTTGATAGAATGCTTAATTGAGTTAATTGAGGCTGGCTAGCATTATCAATATATGTCATAAAGCAGGCAGGCCCACTTGATTCATTTGATTGTTTATCTTCTGATTCTGATTCTGAGTGTCGCAATGCTTCAGTTGAGAAAAAAACTTGTCAGTTTTTTTCTGAAGTTTTATTCTTTTGGCTGGTGGTTGACCTTCAGTTCCATTTTCCATTGCTATTATTAATAATATACATTTGTGACATATGACGCATTCTGAATGAGAAGTCTATAGTCTGTGAAGCAATCTAGTAGAGTAGAGAAACAAAATATTTTTACCAGAATTGTTTGGATTTTTGTGTGCATTTTTATTAATTAAATAATCACAACAACATGCAATTTACTGCACGCTATTTTCGTGGGTTTATTATCTCAATTATATTAGTGAAATTTAATTTTTCCTCTAAAAACAGTGATCTTTGTTCATAATACTAAATTGAGGCTTTTAAAAGATTGTACTAAGGCATATAAATTTATATATCTATATTCAGGCAGTTTGCCAGTTTTACTCACTTCCTGCCCGTCAAACATATTAATACAAGATATATTAAGAAAAACAGCGAAGATTTTGACTTATACACAATTGAAAATTAAAGTAAAGAACAAACGTTAAAGTTTATTGCACAGCACTGTTCAAAGACATCTTATGAAGCAATGAACGCTGATTAATAATTTAATAGATTCTACATGAAGGTAAAATGCTTTTGTAGGAATATACGCGTGCATGAATACTAAATTAAAATCGCATTTTAGTAATTGAAATTAACATACTCGATTTATTCAGTAAATATTCGAATTAAAGGAAACACGATATGTGCCATGAGTAGTAGTTGTATCGAAGGTGAAATTGACTTACCTGCCATGTTTGATTCATGCTTCACTTGATTAATTTCGCGCTTTTTAATAAATAGCACTAACATTAAATGTCTTGTACCAGCGGCAAAAAAGGCACAAAGTGAAACTACTTCATGTTATTGGCGTGAACAACGCGATTAGGTAAAGATTACAGATATCATTATCGTGTTCAATGATGATTGAAAATGAAAATTGTAAAGAACATTCTCGTTTACTGTATATAAGATTATGCAACGTGCAAAAAATATAGGGGGGGGGGGGGCTTAACGAGACAAGATTTACAGCTTACCGAGGCATTATTTAGGAAAACTCAAATCTCAAGATAGAAATTTTTTTGTATCTTTTAAGACATCGACGAATGTTCTCTATTTCGTGACAACTGTCATCAAAACTCAAACTGCTCCAACACTGATGGGTCTTTCTTGTGCACTTGTGACAGTGGATATTCTGGAAATGGAACTGTGTGCCAAGGTAAATTTAAGATCAAATTTACTACTTAGCAAGGCAGTTTTTAGCAAAATTAGACGTCGAGCTCAAATGCTTGCAATATATTTTAAGATATTAATGAGTGTTCTCTATCTCCTGATAACTGCGACCAAAACTCAAACTGCACCAATATTGATGGATCGTTCTCGTGCACTTGTGAAAATGGATATTCTGGAAATGGAACTGTGTGCCAAGGTAAATAAAAGTCGCAATTTTTTAACATAGCACTATGTACCATAGCACATCTAATCTCTTTCACAAAAAAAATTACATCTTCGTAGTGTGTTAACGCCACAGCTTTTATATGTCTTTAGACATCGATGAATGTTATTCATCAATTGACAATTGTCATAAAAACTCAATCTGCACCAACAATGGTGGATCTTTCTCTTGTACTTGTAAGAGAGGATATACTGGAAATGGAACTGTTTGCGAAGGTATGTACAGTAGGTGATGATGATTTTGAAACGACATAACCTTGGTTAGGAACGACATAACCTTGGCCAAAATGATCACATGAATCAGTGATGACAACTGAATAATATTGCTGTTGGAAAAAATGGAGTTCAAAATCTTCACGTAAGCTAGAGTGCAATATTTAAAAAAATTTCGTATTCCGTCCGATAGTTTTGCCAAAAGTATTTGGTATATATTTGCAGACATACATGAATGTTTTTCGTCTGACGACAATTGTCACAAAAACGCAAACTGCAACAACACTGATGGATCTTTCTTGTACACTTGTGACAATGGATACACTGGAAATGGACGTCTTGCTAAGGCGAATTTAAGACAACATTTACAACTTACCAAGGCAATACTTAGCAAAAATTAAACCCCGATTATTATTATTACTAGAAATACATGCATGCAGTAACCCCTCGCCAATATTTCCCAAACATTAAATTAACATGAAGTATTCAGAAATCGCCAACACTGAACGCAGGCTCGCGCTCAAGTGTTGCCATGACAACACGATATCTTAAATTTTTAATTTTTCCATATTTTTGTACCGAACTGCAAAATAGTTGAACGATTCGTACTTTTAACTATCCAACAATAAATTTCCGAAATATACACTGTAGGTATATTATTTTGCATTTTGTGAGCTCTGATTTAATGTAAAATTTAACTGGAAACGCTTCGTGAAATTTTTGAAATGTTCATTCAACTAAACTACATTTGCCGATAAACGGTTTTAATACACACAAAACAAATTGTTGGGTAATTTTAGTTTAGTCTTCAAATCAATTTGTTCAAATTAAACGGTAATTTATGAAACTTAGAGCTTTGTTGAAAAGGAAAACAGTTCATCTTTTTAGGCAAAAAGTTAAAGCAACAAAATTCAAAGCAAACTTGCCGTATATTTCACGATTTCCCATAGTAAATCAATTCTTCTCATTTCTTCAAACAAAATTGCTTCAAGCTTGTTGTATATGAAACGATTTTCCAAATATATGTCTTTTAAAATTGAAATCTTGCTTATCCCACTCCTAGAAGCAATCAGCCATATTTTTGAGATCAGTGAGGATGACCACCATGGTGGACATGACAAAAAATTACGCAACAAAATGGCGTCCGATAATGCTAGGATTAGTATAGGCATATAAGAACTTTCTAAAATATCGCATCAATGAGCCGCAAATCCCACTTACTTGGCATCGTTTCATATGCTGTGCTGATTCAGGAATCTATTAATTCTAACAAGTATTTCTAGAATAAAATACACTCACTTCCCGAGCTCACTATTGATATCACATTCACCAGCATAATAACTCCTTATATTGCATGTGAATCTGACAATACATGCCAACAACGCAGCCTGGTGTACGGAAATATATCCAGCGACGTCTTGAGCTTGGCATCGCAATTGTTTCAATAACATTCAAACTTTATATATTCGCCTATAAAAGTATCTAAATTCCACTGGAAAATACTTCCAAAATCCTCTAAACTTAGCCATTTTATTCATCCATACATGCTACAAGAGGCCATATTTGTCAGCACAACCACGATAAAATTTTCATACATTGCGTTTCTTCCCCGGCATATTTGTTTTTAAATTAATTATGCTCTTCCCAGTTTCTTACCCTGCCCAGTACGCAAATTTATGCACTTTTCTCAGCTAAATACATTTACCATACGTGCGTAAATGCGTCAAATTTGGAAATTACTTCTTCGATCGTGCCACAAATAGTGGTTCTGCTGTTCTAAAAAATGTAAGACAATCTTACATTAGTTAATCGCAGTAAAATAAAATGGAAATTAGCCGTCAGCACCAAGTTTCCTTTTCAATATATTAACAAAACGATTTATCTTTGAAGAATGAGCCGCCATATTTTGTTTGTATTTTTTGAGCAGCTGGGAAATTTGTTGTCGCTGTGCAGAGAAATTGCTGGCGCACGCGATATTTTACAAAAATTCGAAAATTTGAAAAAAACAACACGAGTGAAATTTCAACTGATGATTTTGCATTTTTAAGACGGCGATCAAGGAAATTAAATTGTTGGAAAAACTTCACCAACATCTCAAGTATGGAAAGCATCTACATTATCAGCATTTTAATTTTGGATTGATTCAAAATTCAGGCGATAAAGTTACATAGCTAGGAGTTGGCTTTTGTACTCTTCGAATATCCATTTTCATTCGCGGATTACCACAACTTGTTGGTCTCATGGGTGCCAAAATCGACATAAACGTAAACCGGTAACCAAGAGCTATAAAACAAATAGCTTTTCAAAGCGATAAACTTTATTCAGTCAAAAGGATGAGGGTAAATAAACATGCTACTGCGTGATGGTGATTTTGAAGCAACTTTGTCACATATATTTTAAAAAGTGGGATAATGAATCAAATTTTGCTTTTTTCAA